AGTCTTTCATCCGAGCGAGTCTTCATCAAGAATCGAGACCTTCGACGATTCATAATTACTCCGTCGGCCGTTGACATTTTTTCCACCCCCGTCCCCCTGGAGAGCCGTAACGCGGGATGGAAAATGGCAAAAAATGAAGAGACGCGCTGGCTAATTGTCCTCCCCACCCCTTACTCCCACATCATTTAACGAGGGAACGTCGATCGCGACGGCCACGCGAGGGATTTGGCTCATTAGCAGTTGGGAGCTAAGGCGCTGCTGCGCTTATATCGGCAGTAGTGCAAGTAGCCTCTAGGGTGACGGGGTGGCGTGAATCGCGAGGGTCATTATCATCCATCGTTTTTGATCGCTTATTTTTCGAGGACGTCTCTCTCTCTTTCCCTTTTTGTTTCATACGGTGATTGCTCCTCGCCCCGAATAGGAAAAACAACCTTTCGCGTTTGGAGATTGGAAATTCCGCCAAAACCCCCTGACATAACGCCAAAGTCTATTTTTTTTTTCGCTCGTCTGACCAAATCCGCTCATTACTACTGCGAAATCATCGGATTAGCATCGAAACGAATTTGCTCGCTCGACTCGAAAACGAATTAAATCAGCGCGCAATCGTCAAACGCTCTTTAATCAACTGAAAACGCCCGAGTGAACTCGTTTAACAATTTAATCACGTGCGTTAACTTTTCCGCGGAGAGGCGCTCTTTTTGTGTACGTGTACCTACGTATCAATTGACAGCTGGTGCTGCTGTTGCCTCGCAAACTCTCGCGTAATGGGATAATTATTCACGTTAAACTCGAATTCGTGTATACCTGCGTATACACATCGCGGAGGACCCGTAGCGTGAAAAGTATAAGACTCGCATCGGCTGTGCGCAAGGGAGGGGTCGTCCCGCCCTGTTATACCCCCGTCGCGAAGTCGAAGGAGAGCAACGATTCGAAAGCAGTTTACGAAACTTATGCCACCCGCGTTGCTGCTGCCGGTCTACCTCGTACGCAACAGCAGAAGCAAGTTTAAATTAAGCCCCATCCATTAATGACAATGCGCGCTCGCTCGGTAAGTTCGAGTTACTTCCAGACAGCTCCGCCTACCTCCGGTCCCCGCGTCCGTCACCTCTCCTGCTGTGACTATCTTCCTTGGGTGTATATATATACATACACACACGAGATTAGCTCGCGTCGTCTTCCGTAAAACACGTCTTCGGGCGCTCGGGAAGGAGAGGAGCGACAGCTGGGGGGCTGGTTGGATGTACCGCGAAATCGCTTAGAACGAGATTTGAATTAAGCAGACGTGCGTCTCTCCACTGCTCACTCCTCCTGCCCATTTGACGAGCCGTATACTGCTCTGTACGACGTACGCGGCATAGCGAGCGAACTACGTGTCGAGGGGGTAATCGTAGCGGAGGGATATGCGCGTATACCCACCTGGCATTTATTAATTTCTCGATGCCTGCTAATTTGTCCTCTTTTGCCTCTCGACGCCTTTCGAGGCGCACTCCTGCCTTGTTCTCTCGAACAATCCACGTGGAAATATTGCCGTCTTTAGCCTAATCAGTTTTGCCGACGTAGTACCTTTTGCTGTGATTTTTTTGTTTTTTTCTTTCTCTTTAATATCAAGCAAAGAGAGAGCTCAGAAAATTTTACGCGTGGCCTGATACTGTGCCTCTGGAGTTTTAATCTTTGGTATTGCTGTCGAAAGAAGGGGTTCTCTGCTCGCCCACCGCAGGCTAGATCCGACCACAGTGCGTAACCTTTCTCGTTGACGCTCTATTCGTATCAGGTAGGTTTGATGTACACGATACACTTGGGAAATGTAAAATTTTAATTTGACTAATGGTAAAGTTCAGGGTAGCGATTTAAAAGGGCGCATGGACTCTAGTATTACTTTTGTTTTGTAACTTTTGTTTTATCATAATTGACTGGATGTAATACTCGAGCTTTTACCATCCTGTTATGAAGCTGTTATTAATTTATGTTCGTGAATAAGAACGAATATTGAGCTCTTAGTGATGAAAAATTACAATTTAAGTGAAACACTCATTTTTCGGTCAGACCTACTGAATTATTATTGATAACACGGAAAAAAACTCAAGTCTTGTTCCTGTTTTATGACGTTTTTTTTAAATAATTGACGGTACTGAGGCTCATATTTATAAAAACCAAGCTATTTGGAGTTTAAGGCTTTAAGTGATGAAAAATCCATTTTAAGGGAAACAACTCTTTTTTGGTCAGACGCACTTGATTCTTGTAAATAACATTATTTTAGGGAAAAGCTTGAGTTTTATTTCTGTTTTTCAAATTATATTTCATGTTTATTNAACCAAGCTATTTGGAGTTTAAGGCTTTAAGTGATGAAAAATCCATTTTAAGGGAAACAACTCTTTTTTGGTCAGACGCACTTGATTCTTGTAAATAACATTATTTTAGGGAAAAGCTTGAGTTTTATTTCTGTTTTTCAAATTATATTTCATGTTTATTAACATAAACTAATACCACTCATACGTACTGAAGTCTCAGGACCTGAAGAATGAAAAATCAGTTTTAAGGGAAACAACTATGTTTTGGTCAGACGCACTTGATTCTTTTTAATAACATTATCTTATGGGGAAAAAACTCGAGTTTTATGTTTGTTTTTTAACTTGTGTTTCATATTAATTAACATGATATAATATGGTCATATGTATTAAGTCTCAGGACCTGAAGAATGAAAAATCAGTTTTAAGGGAAATAACTCTTTTTTGGTCAGACGCACTTGTTTCTTGTTAATAACATTATGTCATGGAAAAACTTAAGTTTCATTTCTGTTTTGTTTTATAATAATAATAAGTTTTATTATACGTACAAGAATCACGCTGTTCAAGTTTTTAGGCTTTTAATGATAATAAAAATCATTTTTAAGTGAAACAGCCCTTTTTCGGTCAGACGCACGTTTAGTATACGTAAATTCAAAAAATACGTTTATCATACAAACGATCGGATGAAAAATCGCTGATAGCAGAGCGCATATTCAATATCCAACGAAAAACCGAACGTTGCAAAGCCCACGACTTACCATAAATCGCCGATTATTCTAAACAGGTTCGACCGAATGAAGACGGATGAAAAATCGATAGGCTAAAAAATAAAAAATAAAATACTGCAAAAATGATTCGAAGCTCCCACAACGTGGCATGTATAGATAAGCCTCGCGTGCCACACATCCATGAAATACACATTTTCCCCCGCCACTCTTCCTTCCCCTACTAGAACCTAAAATATCGGAGAAATATTAATGCCCAGTGGAAAACCCTTCCGGGCACGCTTTGATCCTCCCTCCGCGCATCGTCACGTGGAGGTCACTGCCACGCCACATGTATAGATACCCACCGCAATTTGCAAAGCACTCGATTCCATTCCAACCCGAACGCGTCTCTCTCTCCCTCGCCAACGCGCTTTTATACGTGGCGCATGTACGCACGTTTACAACCGGTGCTCTCTCGCCCAAACTTCTCTTTCCATTAACATTTTTTCATCTCTTCTCGGACGCTTCTTTCCAATTTTGGCATTCCTCCCGTTTCCTCGCCCTTTCCATTATCCATGTTATTACGAACAGCTGTTACCCCTTCCGCTTTTGCACTTTGTTTTTATCATTACAGAATGCACGAGCATTTTTTTGTAAAAACCCTCCATTCAAAAATCATTTTTTTCATCCCGCCACCTCGCACTCTCGTCGCGAATTCAACCTCATTTTTTACTCGCATAAAACCAGCCTTGCAAGCCGCAGCAGCAGCTCTATCTAGCTATCCTATCAAAGCCCCCAAGTGCAGAAAATAACCAGAGCTTTATGCGAACGGAATTGCTCACGATACGCGAGGCTCTAGACGCGAGGATCGATCCACGCGGGCGGACTTTTGCCAAACGCACCACAGACGGGTGCACGTATATCCAAAAGTTATCGGCTGGTTATTTGCTCGCGACTTACGCGACCCATACATGCTCGTCTGCGCCTCGGATCACGCGAATCATCATACGTGTACCTGCCGTCGTCAGCGTGGGGTTCTCGTGTATACATCTAGCGGAGTGCTCGAGTAGGGGAGTTTTTTTTTTTTTTCTTACTTTCCACTCCCTTTCAACGAGAGACGAAGCTCGGAGGCCTCGCGTCTTTTAGCGCCCATTTGCTCGAGCCTTCGATCGATTTTTTCCCTCCGTGTAACCTAGTTTGTATCAGTTTGTTTACCCGTTCGCAACTTTTCAAGCTCGACGCGACGCTCTAATGGTTTAATTACATCGTTTCTGCTGCCCTTTCCCCCTTTATAAAAAAAAAAAATCTAGAATCAACGTAGAAATCAGCAGCGTCCCGTGGATTAACTTTCGCGTAACTCGATAGAGCGAAAACGACGTTCACCCCCGAACGATTCTTGCGCTGTCGAACTTTATATTCCAGTCACGCGAAGTGATCAGAGCTTGCTTTTCGGAGCCACGCGGTGCGCAAATTAAGGTCAGTCGCCCCCTGCCCCCCACGTCTAACTTTTCGGGAGCGGTGGGCCGTAATTTTTAAGTCCAGCGACTTTTGGGCTTTTTTTTCTCCTCGTCGCAAGGAAAAAACACGGGGCGCATAATCACCCGACGACTGCGATAGCCGAGCGACAATTACGCCGAATTAGCGACACCGGTGTTGATTCTGCTTTTGTTACTTTGTCGGATAGTAGCGCGTGTGCGAATTTTTTTTTCTGGGATTAAAAAAAAAAAAAAGACGTGCACGGGGGAGAGAGACGGACAGTCTAATTAGAGAACGTGGGTGACGCTCTCCTTGTTATTTCCCCTTTTCTCTTTCGATCCGCGCCAGTTTGCCGAACAATCGCCCGGTAATTGGGTGTAGCCGGCGTCTAGGACGATCGCTCGCTTTACACCACCTGTGTCCTCTTTCGTGGCACGAATTTTTTTTCCTTTTTCTATATTGCTCGTCCACTAGTTTTATATACAGCTACATGGAAAATTAAAAAGACTTCACTTGGTGTGGCCATTTAAAATCATATAATTCTCTCGCTACAAGTATGGTTGTACATTCTCGTCGAAATTAATGGTATTCCAAAACAGTTTGTCCCCAAAGTTCTCATTGCTTCCGAGGCTCGCATCACCGGGTCCTCGAATGTGCCAATACTTCAAGTTCTCACCGGTTGGATCTACTTTTGCCCAGCGTGAATCGAGATCGGGTACTCTAGAAATGACGAAAAAAAAAAAAAAAAAAATTCAGTGAAGAAGCACGTAATATCGTAAAAAATGTAGGTACCGTTTTTGCGCCACAGTGGTCCACAGGTCGACTAAATACCTATTCATAGCCAGGTCCTTCTCCGACCTCGTTGGATCCATGTACGGATTGCCGAGCACGAGGTACACGTCGTCGCCGTGGCACACACCTTCGACAGCATTAGTTACTTCATCACACCTGACATAATGTCAACAAGGGAAAACCAAATGGTCCTCACCCAGATCGTCGGTGTCGTTTTCGCGGCTACCAAGACTCGTGGACGCCCTGTAGTTGTAGTAGTAAAACCAAACCGGGCTCCCATTGGCCATCGCCTGCGCTCTCGCCGCCTTTTCCGCGTCCACGAGGAACATCCTATCCCCCACGAGCCGCACGAGAACCGACAGGCTATCCCTACCGATGGCCTTGTCGCCGAAATAGTGCTTCTTCGCGTACCGCGCAACCGTGGCGTGCCCCTCCCTCGGCACGGTGTAATAGTAGTCGAGCAGATGCGGCGCCGCCGAGTCCCAATTTTCGTCCAGGTCCCCCAGAACCGCGGCGTCCCTCGCGAACTCTGGAAGCACGCGCAACACGGCTCTATAACCTCCCTGGGGAACAAAAAAAAAAACACCCGGGCGTGTGTACCTCCGACGGGGTAGATGCCTTCCTCGCTGACGACCCCGGTGATCCAAGGGGCGTCGTAAGCGGCGCCACTGCTGATTATCTCGATCGGCGGGCGATCGATGAACGGCCTCGTCGCGTTTCTCTCCACCACCGGCCCGAACGGCGTGAACGGGTTCAGCTGCCACGGCTGTCGGGCACAACCATCATCCCTCATCAACAACAGAGACGCTCACTTCCGAGAAGTAAAGCATATACCATGAACCTCTCCTGTGCCTGCGTGATCGCGCGGGCCGGAACTCCCCTGAGGCACTCGACCATCCGGGCCAGGCTGTCCGTAGGGCAGTCCAGCATCCTCCCCAGCTGGAGGGCCTTGGCGCGCGAGTGCTCGGTTTGCGTCCAGCAGTCCAGGGCCGTGCCGCTCAGCGAGATCCCGTTGTGGAAGAGACCGGAGCTCATGGCCGACAGGTAGTGATAGTGCACGCTGGCGCCGCCCGCGCTCAGGCCGGCTAGGGTGATCCTGTGGGGGTCGCCGCCAAAGTGCTGGACGTGGTCCCTCACCCAACGCAGGGCCAGGCTCTGGTCCTTGAGGCCCATGTTCCCGGGCACGACGTCGTCTTCGGTGCTGAGGAAGCCGAGCGCCCCGAGCCTGTAGCTGATGCTGGCGTAGACGAGGTCCCGGTCCATGAGGAAGTGGGCCTCGTTCTCCTCGACGACGCCGTACTGGAAGGCCCCGCCGTGGATGTAGAAGATCACGGGCAGCGGTCGGGTTTTGTTCGTAGGTGCGTAGATGTTGAGGTACAGGCAGTCCTCGTTGCCGCCCAGGTAGGGCCCGTTGGGGTAAACCTCGCGGTCGTACTCGAAGCACCGATCGGCCAGCTTGTTCGCCAGCAATTCTTTGGGCCATTGGACCAGGGGCTCCGGTGGCTACGCGTACACGCCAATATCAAACCCATGGAAGTGCATGTCATACCTTTTTTTTTTTTTTTTTTTTTACTTACGCGGAATCTCCGATCGCCGGTCGGTGGCAGCGCGTAGGGGATCCCTTCGTAGGCTTCGTACCTGCGCTTCTCGTGCGACATCTTGTAGTAGCCGACAATTTTTCCTGCTGGGATGGAAACTGACGGTGCATCTTGGAGAAAGCACCAGCACGCGTTCACAAAAGCTACGAGCACGATTGCCGGCAGCATCGTTTGTTGACCGAAGCTTCGAGTGGACTGTGTACCGCTCTTTCAAAAACTTCCACCCAACAGATGCGATGTCGGTATCTACGCCGCTTACTTCTACTTATTGATAAGAACGCGATCGGCTGGTCGTAGGTATGTATGTCGAGTGTTTTTTTTTTTTTTTTTTTTTTTTTTACGATACGCACACTATCGGTGTAATCGGTTGCTCACAGTCCAAGACGTACGTGTTGAGCAACAGTTTATCATTTCAAGTGCGATGATACGACGATACGATACCTTTTCCTACTTTCAAACAACGCCACGGCACGTATTTTTTCACGTAGCCATGGAACTTGCTGTCCGTGGATTTCACAGATACATATTGCTCGTGAAGAGCAGCCTCAGCAGCGATACCTCCTGTACACACTCGTGACGTTGGGACAGAGTTCATATATTACGCTCCACGTAAGTTAAAATTTAGCAGCCATCGCTAGGCGCAACCCTTACATTGGTCGACCCAAGAGATGACGATGGATGCAAGCCACTACCACCACTTCACCCCCGTACCAAAAGCCATACCGACAGGTCGCGTAAATTAATCACCGTGTCTCGTCTCGTTGCGACTGCGGACCGCACATGTGCGCGGGTCGTCATCCGAGGAACGCCGTCGGTGTCCACACAACTTCAAATTACCACTCGTCGAGCCGCCACGCGGCCAGCGAACTGGGAGCTTTAGGCACGATATCAATCGTCGGCTCCCTGTACCTACGTACATGTATAACGTTACACGAGAGATTTTCACCACCTCCGCGTGCCGTACACGTACATAGTACACCTGTGAGAGCTAGTTGGTCTGTTGTACTGTACACGACGGTGCCAGGGTACACCACAGCAGCTGATGAGTTGCGGACGTCTGTGCCCTCCGACGGCTTCCTGAAAATTGCCGGTGCCCTTTTGTCCCTCCACCCGTTTCTCTTTTACCCTTCCACGGCGCGTTGCACCTACTTTGTGAAATTTTCTTTGTTTTAACGAGGGGGGATGGAAAAAAGTGCGAGGGGTCGCGCGTGCGGTTTTCGTCCCTGGCGCCGTTGGAAAGGAGTTTTTCTCCCTCCCCCTTTTTCACGCGCTTTTTTGCATGTGAAAGTACTCCGGACGAGAGAGCCAGTGTTGAGAACGGGGTGAGTGTAAATACACATTTTCTTTCTCGTCGTTTTACCTTTGCAAAAGTGCGAGGGAGTAGCCNAAGCAGTTTTCCGGAACTCGTTCGAAAAGTCTCCTTTACGAACCTCGTAACGTCCCTCGCCTTTGGCTCGGGCCGCAAACCTCTCGGTTCGCAAACAGAGACTTTTCAAACTCGTAGGAAAACTACTATTTCCCATCCCGAGCCGTTTAACCCACAGCCTCTGATGGACCAGTGAAAAAACAGAAAAAAAAAGTATACACACATGCAGCTGGTGTAAAAATAAAGGAGCACGGGATGTGTAATCGCCTTTCCGCGGATCCAAAGTTCGTACATCCACAAGGGGAAAGGGAGATTGTATAAATAACCCAGCAAGTATACTTTGAAATTCCCATTTTTCAAACACCCAGCCATACACACACGCGTAGCTCGGGCACGGAGCATATCGTTGCCCGATAAAACCGAGCCGGGCATATATAATTATTAACCAATTTTTTTTTGCGCAAAAACTACAGAGAGCTTTATAAAATTCATTTCGTATTCGTACTTTACTTTAATTCGAATATATAATAACTAACAAAATGGGAGAAAAAAATCCATCATTACGGAGTAATTTTCTATTCATGATTTTCTTTTTCTTTTTTTTCTTTTTTTTTTCTTTTTAACCACGCTTGAGAGATAAAACAGATCCGATCAAAGCAACGACCTCATCAAGCCCATAATAACGCAATTACAAGCAAGTGCTGGATAAATCACGAGGGTGGGGAAAAAACGGGCGTCCGATGGTGAGGCTGTATAAGGGGGGGTGGTAACTTAACGGGATGGCTTTCGGGCTGATCGGGTTCGCAGCGACCGACCAGAGGCCGCAGACTCGCAGGACACTCTCACTCTGTCCTTCTACGCACGCCACACCAGTTTCCCCAGAGCCAAATTAAAAATCAATCCCTGCGAAGCGTGCGTGGACCGAAGGCGTTTTCAACCTTCTCCCCGCTACGACCTCAAGCCACCCTTGGGCTCTGCGGTCTCTTAGGAAGGGTGCACATGAATATACATTAGATTATTGAGAAATTCATACCGACCGTCTCGAGTCCTCCTCGATGCTCGTGGCAGGAGCCACGGCGTTTCGTGAACGATAAGGCAAGCTTACGTCGTCCTGTATGCCCATAACGACCGTACCACCATTTTCAAGTAAGAGGATCTCCGTATATGATACTTGGTATGTGTGTACATTGAAATTTCAGCTGCGCAGTGAACGAGTACGTGTAAATCGCAGCTTATTGCATCCCATACCCGCACATACTTTTTTTTTTCTGTCTAAAAGCTCAGGTGTACATGCGCACCCGATCGTACGTCAGTTTTGATCTCAAGAAGCTGTAGAGGAGAGCCCGTGCGTTGCGTACCCCACTTGACCGTGGAATTAGTGTTCCACAGGAGTGGAGAGTTATGTGCCTCAAAAACGGGAGTTGACCTTCCTCGGTGCTCTTTCAATTTTTTCTTGGCCCTCCTCTCCACTGGTATACCGTCCCACCGACAGCTTACACGTGTGTCGCTGGCAAGTAGTTTTTCTCTCCCCGGCCGAACAAGTAAAGTCATTTGGCCTCCCTGCAATCCAAGTTAAGTGACTTTCGAGAGCTTCCCGGGAAACGAAACTCGTTCCGCGCCCAACTCTCTTTCTGACTGTTTTTTTTTTTTTTTTTTTTTTCTTCCTCCTTTTCCCATCTAGTTGTTCGCGCTTTGCCGCGCACCCGACGCCTGCGAGCCGCGGCACTGGTGTCTCTTTCTCTCCCGATCTCGGACCAACTTCCGCTCGGCGTTTATACACCGCCGTCGACTTGATTCCACCCCCCACCTCTGGCTGTGTTTCTTTATTTTATTTTTTTTGTTCTTCCTTCTTTGCTCAGTTTTGATTCGGTTCCTCCCTTTTTTTCCTTTCTTTGTTTCTTCCTGTCGATATTTATACCCTCGAGTGATGATGGTTATACGGAGGAAATCGAGTTGATGGCCAGTGGGGGGCGATCGGTTATACACTTGCTTCTTCTCTTACCAAGACGCAGTTTTTGACATTTAGAGCTCTCGTTGTGTCGATTAAACAACAGTGGATGGGTACTTGCTGTTGTGAATTTTTTCTTTGCTGTTTTACACGGTACAAAATGTTACCCATGCTATAAATAAATCGGTACGGATAAACAAAAACAGAACAAAACGAAATCATCGTGATGGAGTGGAATTTTTTGTTTCGACCCTTTTTTTTCCTCCTTTCCGATTACCGTCTCGTAATTGCCCAAAGAAACGTTGTTTCCTCTCGGCTGCTCCCGTTGCTGCAGTGGCTCTCTCCTCGCGAGAAAAGACTCGTGAGGAATGTAACGATGCATTAAGGACAGCCGCGGCTGCCGGCTAAAGTGCCTTTAACTTGGGAGTACACCCGACACACTAACGCGAAATTGTTTCTTCTTTTTTTTTTTCCAAGTGTCAGGTGCTTATCCACGAAATGGGGAAAAAAAGGGACCCTCCGAACTTTATTTCCAGCCACAGGGTCTTGAAAACCGAAACTCTTTTACAACTATGCAGTTCGTCTTGTAGAAAAAAGAGAAAAAAAAAATCTGACGGCGCGCCGTCTACGAGGGTAAACACAGAGTTCCGAGAGCATAAAATTAAAAATCGTGCAAACACGCCGAAGACCAAGGACTCTTTCTATTTTCTTCCCAACAACTTTTCCCAAATTTTCATTGCAGGAGAGATGAAAGAAGCGCACACAAAAACTCACTCGTCACAACGGAAAGGGAAAAAATTACTTTTCCGCCCTCGGGTGGTTTTGGGAGGCTGGTACTGCCTCGGGCAAAAAAGCAGTTTTCCGGAACTCGTTCGAAAAGTCTCCTTTACGAACCTCGTAACGTCCCTCGCCTTTGGCTCGGGCCGCAAACCTCTCGGTTCGCAAACAGAGACTTTTCAAACTCGTAGGAAAACTACNCATCCAGGCGTGTTTTGCGAGACCTTGTTTTGGCAGCAAGCTCTACGAGCTTCTTCTTGATCGACCTAATTATTTAGATTAGATAAGCATCTGTGTTTTTTATGTGTGCCTGTGATATCGAGGACCAGTGATCTCAGCTATTAGTATTTTACTACCACAATAGTCTACGTATTACCTATTAGTTTTTACTTTTTGTAATATTTTTGTAATGTTTTCTTTTTACTCTACTTTTCTCTAACGAATTTGTTATATCTTATAACAACTATTATTTATTACTATTACTTATTTTAATTTAAGTATTTATTCTCTATATTATGTATATTTAAGTTATAAGCAATTTTATGTATTAGAGCGCTACCTGCTCTAACCTATGTCAGCTTGTACCTAGCTCTGGCTATTATGGACCCTGAGTCCTTAGCTATTTAATAAAAATCTAAAAATCTAATCTAATCTAATATTTCTCTCTCTCTCTCTTTTGTATTTTTTTAATGACATGTACTTCGAAAGTGCCATTCGGGTGAGATGCCCTTGGCATAATAAGTCAGTTTTTAAATCAAATCAAAATCTCTCTCTCTCTCTCTCTCTCTCTCTCTCTCTAAATCTACTTTACATTACCTATATCCCATATTTTAAAACGGAACTGTGCTTTCTACCATTATTTGTACAGCCTTGCACACGTTGCGAGCGAAGCACGCACCTCATACGTATATGCGCATCACGACCGCATTGCAAGGCGCTCTCTCTCTCTCTCTAAATCGTCGGGACCATAAATCTCCCGCCGAGACTTGCAAGCTTGATACGAGTACAGTCCGGGCAGCTTGCGGTGTGTTGAATTGCCTCCCTCTTTCCGACGCGGAGGCGTGAACCGGACGAAACGATTTTCACAGCAAGAGGCTTAAATCACACGGGGGTAGCTCCGGTAATATGAGCTCTTTCTCCCCCCCCCTCCCCCACAGTCATGGGTGTCGCAGGAGCGAGTATTTGCATGCACATAGGCAGCAGGAATTTCATATTCGTGTTTACAGATCTTGTAGGCTGTACATAGTTGGGGAAACAATGAGCTCCATTGATCCAATGGATTATCGGCGCTCGCTCGAGCTGATCGAATGATTTTGTAATTTTTTTTTACCTTTTCTTAAATGTCACATGATCTGTATTACTTTCATAGTAAACTATCGACCCTATATGCAATGTAATGTTCGATTTTGTTTTTAATTAAAAAAACGCATTCCCATCGACCGATCACCGAGTTTATAGTTATAATCCCAGCCAAAACTGGCTACCAACCATGTACAGGTACAACCTTACGTATACAAAGTACGAAATGTGTATATACGTGGACTCACCGAGTAGTTTGTTGACCTGCGATTGACTGATGAAGACGTTGAGGTAGGCGTCGCTTGAGCCACCGGCGAGCAGCAGCACGAGCCCGACGAGCTTGAGACGCGCGTGGAAGAGCTTGCGCGACCAACTTCTGAGCTGCGCCAGCTGCATCGTCGCATCCTTCGTACGCTTCTCCCCTTCTTCTTCTTCTTCTTCTTCTTCTTGACTTTCCGAGAACTACTATATATTCACTACTCGCTTACTTCTCGCACGCGCGGCGATGACAAAAGTCCCACTTCCTTATGCTCTATATTCCGCGCAACAGCTGCTTTCATTTGTACTGCTTTGTTTGTCTTTGCTTTCAGTTTTTAGATTTTTTTTTTTTGTTTTTTTTTTGTTTCCTAGCCCTTTGGAATAGCTTATATGCTTCGTTTATTTTTGTTTGATTACGGCAGTGTCACCCTACTATACAAAACTTCCAGCGCAAGCTCTGTTTTGAAGATTAAATACTGCTGCACGTATTTGATTATGCGTTACATGTATCAAGTTTGGATTCTTGCAGCACTGATTAAAAAAAAAAAGAAAAAAAAAAACACTTTGCGTTGGCATGAAGACCTTTTGCCCAACCGCGACATAGGGTGCGAATTTCTTCTTAAACAAACTTTGATCGCACCGCGTCTCGACCCGTCATCTTCAAAGACAAATAAATCCCCAAAGCAGCAAAAACTTTACCAAAGTCCCCAACTCTCGTCTAATAAACCGGGCACTAGGGCGATAAATCAATCCCCCGTATCGCACGTGGCTCGCGAGCCTCGTACAAAGCAACCGGGAGAAGGGGCTCGCGCACGTGGGTGCTCGTGTCACCGACGGTCGGGCAACCGAGCGCGACTACCGAGAACCAAGCCCGAGGGAGCGCTTTTCGTGGGGGCAAAGTGCACTCGGGCGCTCGACGCACGCGCACAGCGTATACGGGTGTACGTATTCTCTTCCTCCTCTTTTTCGCACTCCATTCGAGGACTTCCGGACGGTCTTCGCGACGCTATATATACTACGCGTACTTGCACTGCTGCTGACTTCGATCCCCGACACGGCCGCCGGAGAGATTGCGGCTCTCTACGTCTGATTGCTGACGTCGCGGCAACAGCCCTGTTTTCTTTTATTTCCCGTCCTTTTGGCTCGCGCTCCTCGGCGCCTCCTCCGTGGACTATACACTTTTGACGGATGGGGTTTTCGATGGTTTTCCCCGCGTGATTTTTACCGCGATTTTTCTTACACTGTCCTTGAAACTATTGGGAGAAATTAATTTCATCATCTTTTACGAAAAAACTCCGCTACTGGGTACAGGCTTTGCGGAGTAAAAAGTACATCCCACGAAGCTGTACGGCATAATAATAATAATGGCATTTCAACCTATTAAGAAAAAAAAAAAAAGGATAATCCCCTTGGCCACTCGTCACCGGAGAACCGTGGCTGGGATAGTTGGTATTTAACGAAAGCTTATTAATTTGCCTCGGCAGTGCGCGTGTGTCTGCTTATACCCCTTTTGCGGTGGCACACGTATACGTCCCCTCTTCGGTACTACCTATGTTCCTCCGTCCCTTCTGTACGTGCACCCGCATACATCCGGATATCTGGACTTTCGAATGGCCGGGCGACGCGTTGCTCGCATCGTTGCGCTCGAAAACGCTTGAATTTAATTAAACGAGACGGAATATACACCCATACGTACCTACCGCCCTCCAACCCCCTTTGCGTTCCTCCACGAGACTGTACGATAACGTATTTTACTTCGGTGCATATACGTTTTACCCTCACCCCTCCATCCTTCCCCCGCTGTAATTATCAACGCATATTATTTCATGTTGTCACGTGAAGATCCTCACCGACTTTCTACCCTGTACGTGTGATCTTGAAAAAATGAAGCTCATCGTCCGATGAAGGAACCTTCGTTGGAACCCCACGGCAAACCAGTCCTTGCCGGGTTTCTACGTAGTAAACCACACCCTGCATCCCTCGTCTCTCGCCGTAGAAGCGTCGGTCGCCGTGACATGCACAAGTGGTCGCGATTTCATTATCCGCGAAATCCTCGAACGCCCGAGGGGTCCTCCTGCCCCTCGTCCGACACAGAGGAGTTCAATTAGAGGCGAGGGAGCTAATTAACCCGATCGGTCGGGTGGTTCCTCGCATCCGTCGCATCGGCACCCCTTGGATGATTACCATTCGGCATTTTTATCTCTCCTCTCGGGGATGCCGCCACGGCTAGTCCGGGGAGCCCCCTACCGCGGCAAGAATCAATAATCGCGATGTACGGGAGAAGGAGGAGGTAAATCCTATACGGAAAGGCTCGAATCGGCATTCAACCGCGTCGATTCCTCGTTTCGGTGTGTTACAGGGACAAGAGGTGCACGGAAGCCCAATTAGAAGGGGAAATCAATCCAGAGGGCTGCGATGAATAAATAAAAACCACGTGTGTACCACGAGTATGTGTGTATAGTATACACGGGCATCGACTGCATTGCAGTGATTCCTCGAGCGCGTGCTCCTAATGTACAACTTTTCTTTGCGGGTGCTTCTTTTGCTGCAACGCCGGACGAATCCTCGACGAGCGCGGCTCGATCGGAAACGTAAGCGAGTGTATCCGTTGTTGTCAGTCGTGGTCGTCACACACGCACTCCGGTATCGATCGCCACCACGGTGGCCGCGCGCCATTCATTATTTAGAGGCCGGGGGTTGGGGGGGGGCTACGAGTACATATATACTGCCCCTCGTCGGTGGTACAAGAGGGAAAGAACTCCCGAGTAGGTATTGTACGCGTGGAAGCGGAAAACAAAAACAGCTCCACCGCTCGTGTGTGGTCGAGATCGATGCGTTTTTTCATTTGTATGTGCTCGCTCGCTAAATGATAGATCTGAGACGGTGTATGGGGGCCGCTTGTGTGCATCCCCTTTTTGCCGTGTACAGCTTTGAGGATATCCCTAATGCACGCGCGGATTTGGTAAAGCCCGGGGATTATCTTCTGCGGCGTATATGGGCTTCCTTCCTATTTGCAGAGTAAAATTTCATTACGGAAAAAGGGAAGCAAAAGTTGATTCGACGCGTAGTTGACGGATGTATCGGCAGAGTTTCGATTGCTGTGTTAATCATTGATTCGATCTTGTGTCTATATATATATATATATA